CTGAATGAGACTTGAGTTACTATCATTTTTCAAAAATAATTTACTCAATTAAAATTAGCATTTTATCGATTTCTTTGCTATAACGAAAATATATAAAAAAATAAGTTAGAAATTTATAAAATCCTCAAAAAATAACTGTATATTAAGACAATGAACTTTCAGTAATAAATTATATCACAAAGCAAAGATATACAACAAGCCAAATTAGTAAAACTATCAGCAGCATCTTATCGTACCAAATTATTGTATTTATTTGAAATAAGGAAGAAGTGAAAGAGTATGTACTAGCACTAAACAACTTCTAACAAAAAAGTCAAATCAAAACAACAACAGCTCAAATTTGACTTATTTTATGCAGTCTCCTTGCCATAGCAATTTCCAATTCCGAATGCAAAGCTTCCACGTTGGTCTAAAAAATTTGAAAGTCATGCCATTTACTTCAGTATTTGCATAGTCAAATTATGACGTCCTTTCGTTCAACGTCAAACTCATACATACTGAATTAATTCGTCAGAATACCACTTCATTTATGAGATAAAGCTTTACACTTGGCAATACTTCCCCGTCGCACTTAGATTACTATCAATCAATCCTTAAATGATTTAAGGAATTGCAATTAAGAATAAATGTGTTGACAACGTTTTATAGCTCAAAAATTATTAGAGCTATTCAGTACTTCACAGATTATGCAAAAATAAGTAAAAAACTATTTTGGACGCACCTGCAAGTCAAATTTATTCAAGCGAATAATTTAGTCTAAACAAACAATTTCTAATGCATTACTGAATGCTTTCCAGCAATTAAAATGAAGTGAAAAAGGGAATGTAATGAGAGAAAAATATCTCACTGATTGTAATTTAGTGGTGTCGGATCGTTTTGGTGGTGGTGGTGGTGGTGCCTTTTTCAGAAGCAACGGTGCTTGCGTAGTGACCCGACCTGCCTGACAAGAGTTGTGGTAAACAAATGCTAATCCGTTCTGCAAATATTCATAAAATTGTAAATAATACAACATTCGACAAATCTTCGATTGGTTTTATTACACAAAAGATTACGTCATTTTCTGCAAATTTTTAAATTAAAATAAATAATGTTGAGATATGCAAACAAAACTAAATGAAAAACGCATATCTGAGAAAAAACGCATATCTGAGACTAAAATGACGTTAAGAATCTGAACTAAAGCTGGAAGGTTTAAATACGTTGAATTATCACAATGACATGAAAATAAAACATAGTAAGATTTGTGAACGATTTTACTTTAGCTAACTTCAATCGGAAGTAATTTTCAATAATCTCAAATGAAAAATTAATATTAAAGGAGCAAACTGACTCTTATCAGTAAAAATACATTCTTATATATTCTATGACTCTTTGACTTGCATAACACGATTAATTTACAGAATAAAGAATTCCCTTAAAATAATTGAAGCTATAAAGCATTTAGCAACTTTTAATTCAATTTTCGTAGCTAACAAGCTAAAATACAGTAAATGGAACAAAATTACATCATTGCTATGATTGCGCAGGTTTTGCATGATTAATTGTGGTTTGCTGGGTGGCACAGGTGCCAAGACTGCTTTCATCCCTAATGCGTAATTACCATTAGAAGAGGCGACTGACGCAATACTGTCATTGTAATTTGCGTTTTGACCTTGTTGGTTACTGTTTGACTCTCGCAGATGTTCATGTTGGACAAAAGTTGTTCTCGGTATTGGTGTCCCTGTTGGAGTCCTATTTTCACTTGCATACAAATCTTAAAGTAAACACATCCAAAAATAACAAAAACATTGCTCTAGAATTATATTTTTTCTCATTTTTCATCACAATACATTCAAATTTTGCCATAATAAAATTATATTTTGCATATGCACTATAATACTCTAATCAGTCATAACTTTACATACAACAAAATTGCATAAAAACCTGCAAGAAAAATGACAGAAAAAGAGTGTAAATTATAAAAAATTTTTCAAAATCTTTATAAATTTTCAGTAAATTTGTAGTTTAAAAATATATACAATAATTGAACAAATGAATTGTCACTAACCACCGGTTTGATCCGAACCCGTCGCAACTAAAATGCTAGGTGGAGGTGGGAACTGTTCTTCGTCGCTATCACTGTCATTCGTACCACCGCTACGGCCACTCGGTGATGCGATCCCATCGCTAGGACTTCTGTGATTAGTTACTGCAGACTGTCTTCTGTTTGTCATCATTAAATCACATGGAGCACGTTTGATGGTACCCGTCATTGAGTCATCACACTAAAAATAATTAACAGTCTAGAATTCATTACAAACTATTTTCTAGCATTAACAGCAAAAGCAAATATAAATTTAAACAATTTAACTCAAAGTTTGAGGAAAAGATTACTTATATTAATACCTGATCAAAAATGATGCTATTTTGACGAGGTGACGAACTGTCATCATTGTTAATTCCCAGAGAATTTTTAGATGAAGCAAGACTTCGTACATTGCCATTCATGTTCAGAAGTGGTTGTAAATCTTGCTGTCGGTGAGGATGAGATACGCTATGACTCCTTACATCCGTGACGGATTCGCGATTAGATTCAGGAATAAAAGTAGCAGGTGATGAAACTTGAGGAATACCAATTTTAACAGGTTGTATGATTGGTGTAGATTCGGTATGGTTCTGTTGCTTCCTCATTTCAAGATAGTTTTCAAACAAATGTCGACCATTCTAATGAAAATTTTTTTTAAGATTCAAAAAAGACTAAGAAACAGATTAAGTTTTCAAAAAAATTCTGCATTTTTATATTATCATTAAATGTTTAAGCAATTTCAAAAAATTCACTCAATTACCTAAACTTTTCTTTAAATAAATTCACTTTTGTTCAGACTTACTGAAAGATTGAAGTCAACAAACAAAAAATATTCTGCTCATTCAGAAGATCAAAACATATCAATGATCAAAAAATAGCCAACCTTCGCAATTCTAAGCGCAACCATCCATTTGTGGAATGTCATCGCATCTTCTGTGCAAACGTACTTGATATATTTTGATGCTTTAACTTGAATTTTCGGATGCTTAAATCAAAAAAATATCATCAATGTTTGCACACTCAAATTACTGCCAAATAATTTTTGTATTCTAATTAAGGAAAATTAATTATCTACAAGTTAACAAATTTTC